CGATATCCAGAACCTCATGCCCCACCTCGCCCTTGACCTCCGCGCGCATGGCAAGAGGCAAGAGGATGTTCACCGTGACGAGGAACGACTTCCCCAATGGCATCAACGACGACTACGTGGCCCAGCTAGAGCTGCCAGACTTCGCAGAGCGAGGGCCGATTAGCGAGGTCATCCCTTGCACGCGCAGCGCCCAGCTCGCGCGGACAGTGCGCTCGCGACCACGACAGGCCATCACCAGAAATTCCCAAGCGACCAACCGAGCCCAAATTGACCACTCGACCAACGCCGCGCATGGCCCTGGCAAACCATCGCCGCCGAACTGCCCGCCCCCGCCAGCATTCCGCATTCCCACCGACCTACGTGACTGGGAACGAGCTTACGTTAGCACGGGCGCTGGGTCAGGCCGACTATGCACCCGACATGCCCTCAGCCCCGAACCGCCAGCTACCTCCACCGAAGCAGCGGGTTGCATTCCGAGGTGGGATACCCGCGAGATGGAACGCTCAGGTATATTATTACAACCTCGAGACCAGGGAGTCTGAATGAGGCGACCCAGGCAAAGTTCTCCTGCGCCGAGGGCGGATGCGAACATTATCTCCGACAGCGTGGAATGCCTCTGCGACGCAAACGAGGACATCATCAGGAATCCACCCGCGGCACCAGGAGACCAGGGGCAACCGCCGCCTCCACTATCTCCGCCGAAGGCGTTCTCGCCATCGCCACAGGCAGGGCCCTTCTACGTCGACGCCTCCGCCTTCGAAGACAACGTCCTGGATGCGTTCGCGACGCCGTCGCCCTCGAAGACGCATTCGCCCTCGAAGACAACCTTCTACGTCGACGCCTTCGCCCTCGACGCCCCCGCCTGCGAATGCCGCGCTGGCCGTGAGTTCGAGGGCGAGGCGGGCACCTTCGAGCGCCGCGTGCGGGGCCCCAACGACGACGAGGTGGTCGCCCGAGCGCGGGCAGACGGGCCCCGCGCACTTCTCATCGAGCTACTCCTCAGCAGCCATGCAGATGCCATCACCGCCAGAGAGGGGGAATGACGATTATCCGGGAGTCCGAGCGGCACCTCCACCTCCAGCGTCAAGCCACCAGGTGAACGATCAGCAGGCTACGACTTCGGCAAGCAGCCCCACGCAATGCGACAATCTGACCACCAACGACCCGAGCACGGCGCACGCCAAGCCCGACGTCAACGAACAGGCCAAGTACCCAGGCACGCCAGCGACTCCGACTCCCACGCTTACGACCTCGACCGAAACCGGATCCATGGATCCAGCCAAACACGCAACCCAGTACAAGGTGCCATCCAGCATTATCGAACTTGCCAAGGCGCTGCCACAAGGGGGCGCCATCCTACCTGCAGCAGTCGCACAGCAAGGACCACAATGGCTGGCCGACGACAGGCACCCATGGCGACCCACCGCGGCACATCTACCATTCCAGCAAGGTCCCATCCAAGACGCCGCCCAAGAGCCCGGCGCAGTGTGAAAGCGAGCCGACGGCACGCAGCAGTATCAACGCCCACCCGACAACAGAGCTTCACAAGCCGCCGCCCATCAGTGTCAAGTCGCTGGCAAGGCCCCGCATGGACGCGCTGCTCGAGCAGGCCGCGCCGCCCATCGAACGACCGTTCGCGGGGATTATATCAGGATCTGCCAGCTGCGATCGACAACGGGACCTCGGTGCTCGTCTGACCGACACCATCATCAGCAAGCGCGAAGAACGGAATTCGCACCTCTTCAAGACCCACGTCCACAATCTGATCTTGGAGTATTCTGCCAGCGCGACCGACGCAGCGAAGCAGTGCGACGTGGGCCAGAGTTCTAACCGCGACAGGCAGCGCGAACATCGTCGAGGCATCGCTCAACTGCGCCCTCCGAAACGACGGGCTACCAGCAGCTCGCGTGTGTTCAGGACGACCCATAATTAATCCGTCCTCGCCAATTGCGTCAATCACCAGCGCTCCGCGAGGCAGACGCGCCCGATCGGCGATGACTGCGACGGCGTGTCGACGCCAGCTGCCGCGGCCCATCAGCGTCGCAATTTCCTCATGTATATCAAATTGGGCACGCCCAACAACCGCGCGCCCGAGCCCGCGCCATTCGCGACCGCGCGCTTCCATGGGGACACCGCCGCCGCAGCCATCAGACACATTTACGAGCTGATTTACGTCCATGGAGACGACTCATCAGGCAACGCCGCCGGACAGACAGCCCATGGGGAGGGCGGCAAACGAGGGCCGTGCAGTGCAGCAGCTCCAACAGACAACGCCATCAATCGGGAGCCTTCCAACGCACGCGCGAGCAGTGACGCGCCAACCGAGCCCCAGCGCGACCCACCGCCCACACTCACATCTCAAGCGCAGGAGGAGCTGCGCCTCGACAAGACCATCGCCGGGCTGAGCCGCCTGCAAGAAGCCCTCCGCCATTATGCACAACAGCGCCCCATCTCCAACGCGCGCGCATGGCTGGCAACCGCCAACAACGACAAGCAGCAGGCGCCAGCAACCGCCCGCGCGATGATCAGCAACACCCACGCGACGATGTCCGCCGAAGACATCAGCATTGCCAGCCTCCCACACACAGGGACAGCGTGACAGACTGCCCACCCAGCGGGGCACGGGCGCGACGGCCCCGTGGACCTGCGCGGCGAGGAGTTCCACGGCCCCGAGGTAGACGCCGCGCTCGGATCAGAGACAGCGCGGCAACCGTTGCTACCTTGCGACGTCGCCTACCAGTCCAAGTACAACGCCCCAGCGAATCAGGAGCACACCCCCCCCCCTCCCCCGGACCGCCCACAACCCGCAAGGCTTTGGCCTCGGGATGGAGCTGGCCGAACGGCGGCCCATGAGCGCCGTCGCTTTTCAATTCGACCAGTTTTGCTCCGCGAGCAGACAGCAGACCCTACATGCGACCCGCTGTTCCCTCGACCTGACGTCTCTGAATCATATCTTCACCAGGCAGCCGCGCCCGCTGGGGCTGCCAGCAGCTGCGCGGCTGTGCCGCAGAGATCGTTACTTTCTCGACCTCTTACCGAGTGCTCAGAGGTGGCAGCGCAGCGCGCCACGTAAGCCTGGCATCAAGCAGGGCAACGCGTGGCGAATGCAGCTACACCCGCTATGCTACGCAGTGAACCCCGAAGAACTTCTCCACCCATGCATGCTACATGGTGCGACGCATTGCACAGTGGCCCCCATGGGGTTTCTCACCCACAGAGGAAGTATCACACGACGTGCCGCGAATATGAATGCAACGAGAACTTGGATGTGTCATTCTGATCCCTTGAGGGTTTTCGTAAACCTCCACACCCACTGGCTCACTTTCTTCCAGCCCCGTCTCCCCGTCCCCGCGCTAACATTATGCCTCGCCCCCCCCGCTCGCGCGTCGGTGGGGCGGGTTTGGAGACCGCGCGGGCGGGGGCGGTGAACGGACTCGCCGCTGGCCGCCCCGGCGAGGGCCAGGACGGCCGCGGCCGCAATGCAAACGCAGCCCGCATCAGGTTTACGCCCACCACTATCTCAACCCATGTTTCTGCCATCGCCGACGCCTGCCCGCACTCCTCTGCCTCGCCTCTTCACCTCGATGCTCTGCCGCGCGGCATTTGCAGCCGCCGCCGCGCGCCGCGCGAGGCGGGGGGGGCTGGGCATCACTTGGGCGGGGGGGCAGGGGGCCAGCGGCAGATAGCCCCTCAGCGCTGGCCGAGAGGCCGCGGACAGCAGCGCCGCCAATCCATCACCACAGCCTCTATCTGCCGTCTCTCTTCAAACCTCCCCGTCGCATTTTTTCTTGAGCCTCCGCACGCGCCGCCTACGCCGCCGCGTCCAGCAACCGCGGCCTCAGCTCTTGGCCAGGCAACCGCCCGCGGGAGGCACAAACATCCCCCGCGTTCGGTGGGCCCCCCCAGGCGGCCCTCAAGTCCACGCATGGAGAGCCGTCTCTTGCTGGGGGACGCTGGCGGGGGGGTCCTGTGAGCATGGGGAGAGGCTTTTGCGCCCCCCACCATGGCGAGAGTGGACCGTGGCCACTGTCATAATGGGGGGTCTGCGGACACAACGCCGCAAACGCACCAATGCCTGCTGGCCACGCTTTCTTTCATTCGACGCCTCTGGCTGAAGCTGCCTACGCTGCCACGCACAGTTACATGTGTCCAAGCTGTCGTATTAAGCACCGCCCACAAGAGGCACAAATCTCCCCCGCTTTCGGGGGAGCCCCCTCACGCGGCCCCCAGGCCAATGTATTGGGAGCCCTTCGCCCGCTCGCGGGCGAGGGATCCCGTCGTTGACCTGGGCGGCGCCTGCAGGGGGTCTTGTGAGCTTGCGCTGGCGCCCGCGACCTCCAGCCTCCCATGTAAGTCGCCCGCGCCCCCGCGGACAGCTAGGCCATCGTCGCTTCCCCCGCTACGTGGTCGAGCCAAGCTGGGGGAGAGGCCGCTGCGCTTCCCACCCCGGCGAGAGTTGGTCGCGGCCACTGTCACTCTGGGGAAAAAAGCGGATTCATCATTGATGGGCGGGGACAGGAAACGGAACGGCGGGCAAGCGTGCGAGGCGAGTTGGGGCGCAGCCTCGCTCACCAGCCAACGCAGCCAGCGCTGCCCATCTCCCCTTACCTGCCGCGCCCCGCCCTTCAGTGCCGCCGCATCCCGCCGCCTGTGCGCCGTGCCTAGATCCCCTCCCTTTTCTCTCCCTCATTCGATATGACGTGGCCTCCTCTGTCCCTTCCCTCCCTATCATCGCATGTCTGTCAGTTCTCCATTGGCGCTTCCTGCGAATCCCGCCGACGACCCTGGGGGCGGCGGTCATGGGGTCACCTGGCCTTAACCAGTTTGATCCACCGCCCCAGGGCCGACTGGCCCTGGGCGGGGGGAGGCTGCGGACGTCGACCTCGTCAACCATTAGGAATCGCGGGGGGGGGGGGGGGGGGGGGGGGGGGGGGGGGGGGGGGGGGGGGGGGGGGGGGGGGGGGGGGGGAAGGGGGGGAGGGAGAGGCTGGGAAATTGTGGAGTCGCAGTGGGCCCCAGAGGAGTTTTTACGATCTTTCAGGCTGCTCCTCAGCATTGCCCTTACATGTTCTTTCTCGCTCTCTCTCTCTCTCTCTCTCTCTCTCTCTCTCTCTCTCTCTCTCTCTCTCTCTCTATCTTTCCATGTTTTCTTTTTACGCACGCCTGTATATGTGTGCACCTCTTTCCCTAATACATAACACTGTCACGCCAGCATCTTCGCAAAACATGCCCCCCCCCCCCCCCCCCCCCCCGAGCATGGTTCATTATCATTACCATTACCACTGTCATTGCCATTACCACTAGCCACTACCATTACCATTGCCATTACCATTAGCATTACCAAAACCATTGCCATTACCATTACCATTACCATTCCAATTACAATTACCGCTGCCATTACCATTAAAATTCCCATGCCCATCACCATTGCCATTACCATTACTGTTACCAGTACCATTACCATGACCATTCCCATTACCATTACCATTGCCATTATCATTACCACTACCACTACCACTACCATTTCCATTCCCGTTCCTTTTCAAATTACCATTACGATTCCCATTCCCATCCCCATTACCATTACCATTACCATGACCATGACCATTACCATTACCATCACCATTACCATTGCCATGGCCATTGCCATTGCCATTGCCATGGCCGTCGCCATTGCCATTGCCGTTACCATTACCATTACCGTTGCCATCGCCATTGCCATTGCCATTGCCAGTCGCTACCTCGTTACCCTTGCCATTACCGTTACCGTCACCATTACCATTCCCAGTACCATTACCATTACCATTGTCATTACCATTACCATTAGCATTGCCATTGCCATTGCCATTCGCCACTACCATTACCATGGCCAGTACCATTCCAATTCCCATTTCCAATACCATTACCACTACCACTGCCATTACCATCACCATTACCTTTACCTCTACCTTTACACCTTTACCCTTACCATTCCCATTTCCGTTACCACTACCACTACCATGTCCATTCCCGTTCCCATTCCCATTCGCATTCCCATTCCCGTTCCCATTCACATTGCTATTGCCATGGCGATTACTATTGCCATTGCCATTGCCAATCTCATTGCCATTGCCATTACCATTACCATTACCGTTGCCATTGCCATTGTCATTGCCATTGCTAGTCCTACCCCGTTACCATTACCATTACCGTTGCTATTACCAGTGCCATTGCCATAACCCCTGTCATTACCATTACCATTAGCATGGCCATTGCCATTGCCCTTAGCCAACTACCATTGCCAGTACCATTACCATTCCAATTCCCATTGCCATTACCATTTCCATTTCCATTCCCATTACCATTACCTTTACCTCTACCTTTACCTTTACCCGTGCCCTTACCATTCTCATTTCCGTTACCACTACCACTACCATTTCCATTCCTGTTCTTGTTCCCATTCCCATCCCCATTCACATTCCCATTCCTGTTCCCATTCCCATTCCCATTACCATTACAATTACCATTGCCATTGCCATTGCCATTGCCAATCCCATTGCCATTGTCATTACCATTTGCGTTGCCATTGTCATTGCCATTGCCAATCGCTACCTCGTTACCATTACCGTTACCATTACCATTACCAGTACCATTACCACTGCCATTGCCATTACCATTAGCATTGCCATTAGCCATCACCATTACCATTGCCATTACGATTACCATTACCATTACCATTGCCACTACCATTGCCATTACCATTACCATTACCATTACCATTACCATTACCATTACAGCCGCCATTACCATTACAATTCCCATTCTCATTCCCATTCTCATTCCCACCACCATTGCCATTACCATTACCAGTGCCATTACCATTACCATTCATTACAACTACCACAATCATTTCCATTTCCGTTCCCATTCCCATTCCCACTTCCATTACCATTACCATTACCGTTGCCATTACCACTACCGTTGCCATTGTCATTGCCATTGCCAGTGGCTACCCCGTTATCATTACCATTACCATTACCGCTACCAGTACCATTACCATTACCCCTGCCATTACCATTAGCATTGCGATTGCCAATGCCACTAGCCACTACCATTACCATTGCCAGTACCATTTCCATTCCCATTCGCATTCTCCTTCCGAATACCACTACCATTTCCATTTCCATTACCGTTACCATTACCTTTACCTCTACCTTTACCTTTACCCTTACACTATCATTCCCATTTCCGTTACCATTACCACTACCATTTCCATTCCCGTTCTTGTTCCCATTCCCATTCACATTCCCATTCCCGTTCCCATTCCAATTACCATTACAATTTCAATTACCATTGCCTTTACCATTGCCATGGCCATTACCATTGCCATTGTCATTACCATTACCGTTGCCATTGTCATTGCCATTGCCATTGCCAATCGCTACCCCGTTACCATTATCATTTCCGTTACCATTACCATTACCAGTACCATTACCATTACCACTGTCATTACCATTGCCA